TAACCCTGTATTCTAAGGGGTACATTCCCTTATTCAAATTCAAATCCAACCGTGCGGCGCACACAGTTACGAAACTGTTCCCGCCAATTCCCTCGTTCCTGCAGCTGCTCGATTCCGTTTGCCTCCGACGGTCTGGATTCACTCCAACTGTTCACCTTGCCTTGAGTCAGCTCTGGCTCTTCGTGTTCGTGCCTCGATACTTCGTGCTTCGCTTGCTACGGTTAGGAGTGCAAAATCATATTTCACTATTCGTTACAATTATGGTGGAAAACTCATCCTGATAACGCAGATCCTCACAAGGTCGAATGTAGGTTATCATTATTGTTACTATTACTAGTATTATTACTACTAATATTATTATTATTGTTCTTATTATCATTATTCTGGGAATTGAAGTGGACTACTTTCGTTTCTTATGTATGGAACGGTTTAGAACGGTGCCTCGAGAAGCAATATCTTCGAACACGTGGTAAATGGGATGGCGATTGCGATTTTGTACCTTGTCCTTTGTTTCGATGGCTTCCTTCCCATCCGTCCACGTGCACACTTGCGTGCCTGACGAAACCTTTGCCTCGCAGCAAATGAAACCTGTATCGCGGATTCCCCCCCACCCCTCAACACTCCCCTTCATGATAAGCAACCGGAGAATAACTTTCTGGATCAAAATGGTACGTAGACTGCCAGGCTACTACAGCTCACTCCACCGACTGTCCCCCGCCAAAGCAGCTCTTCGAACACTATTTTCTAGTGCGTGCTTGTCGCTGTGTAGGTGTTTGTTTCGTCGCTGAGCGTACCCTTTGGAGCATCCAAGCAAGCGCCGCCGATAGTAGGCGGCGGCATCGATCGGATTTTCACTTCCTCCCAATTTGGATTCGCGCGCCTGCCCCGGGTCCGTCCAACATCTCGCTGCTTCGCCATTAGGGCTATCACGTGAATCGTACACGTAGCACGTGCCACCCGGTTATTGTACGCTCAACAGAACAGGGTCGTGTGGGACCCGAAAGCGGTGCTGCCGCTCTTTGTTACCCAAACCGAAAAACCGCCTTTCAAACGAGATGACGTCACCCGTGCAGCATGTCATCAGCAGGTTCGAGACACGCTCCGCCTTACACATCTTATCGGACAATGCTTCAAAGGGGTGCGAGAGGCGGCTGGCTGTAGATCTCATTCGTATACAGCTTGACTGAGGTGTTGACGTCAAGTTGACACCCGCCCTCAGTCCCGCTTGGGTCACGGCAGGCAGCGGCTGCTCAAACCGACGAGTTGTGCCCCTCCTACTGCGCGATTTGACTTTTCCCCACTCTGGCCGAATGGCCTATTGGCCTGTTTTGTCTTCCTGGGTGTCAGACCAGCATTTGTAGTACGATCAACACGTGGGCCTCACCTCTCGTCGGCTCAGCGCAAGCGAGCCTGGTCCCATCAGCGTTTGCCACGTCGGTATCCGAGGCGCGGCTTTCGCCCATGTCGTCACGTTTTCCCCTTCAAGTCGGAAAACAATCGCGATATCGCCGGCTGCCGGGCCACTGTTCTGCGCTGCAGCCGAGTTATTCGCAGCCAGCATCCGATGCGGGGAAAAAATCCGATTTCGACGGGCGCGTCTGGTGTCAAGGGTCGTCGATCCTTTGCTTCGCGCGATCCGCTCCAAGAACCGCCCATATCGGCTACTCTCCGCCGAAGTGAGTGCATCCACTGCCTTTTGCCTGACGAATCCCGCGGTACCATGGCTGCACAGTTCCGCCGCCCTTGCCGCGCCGTGCGGCCTCCACTTTCAATACGGCAGTGCTCTCTTTCTGATTTCCCTTGGCTGGAGTTTCGTATAAAAGGGTGAGTCGCTTCCGAGTCTGGGCAGCTCAACACAGCTTGTAAGCAAACATCCTTTTGTGACAGCGAGAGCCTCTTTAACATTCTTAGGATTTGAGGCCACGCCAAACAGCCTCGCGCTCCGTGCAAAGCGATTTCTGTGAGAGACTCCCAAGACTCTGAGTCAAAGTGCTTTCGCTCCAGCACTGGTTCTTACCGTTGACGACGCGAGCTACTTTTCCCTGGCAGAAAGAACCTTTGTTTCAGCATTGCTTGTTACATTTGAAGATGAAGGCTTTTTCAACAATTCATCAGCGCCGTGTGAGTGAACTGGAACAGAGGGCTTCTGCTAACGCAACAAGCGCCCCAGCCACCGAAGTGGAGGTAACCTGCAACGCGGCAGAGCGAATGGTTGGGCTCAACGGTACATTGGGAGGCCCCGGGGCCTGTTCTCTTTCCCTGTCGACGACTCACTTAAAGCCGAATCCCCTCCAAGCCAGCAACTCTGTCGTGTCAACTAAAACCCAGCAGATCGGCTTGTTGACAACAAAGGCCGGCCGTTATGTGGTAGGGCTGAACAGAAGCTGCGAGGCTGATTTGGGTGAAGAGGATGAGGAGGAGGCGTTTAAAGACATGGAGGATGTGCTGTGGCTGAGGCAGAGGCGGATGGTGCTGGGGACGAGGCATGGCACGCCGTGCTCCTTTCCCCATGAACGGAGAAGTGAATGGCGAAGCCACCGTTCCATTGGCAGTGATTCAACCGTTCCATACCCATCCTCAACATCCCTGCCTTGCTCCTTCCCTCCTGTGCGGATCAGTCGCCTCCCTTCTGGCAGTGATTTCCCGTACCCGTCATCGGCCTCCCTGCCCTGCTCCTTCCCTCCTGGGCGGACGTGCCATCGCGCAGCTAGCAATGGAACGGAAGCAACGGCCCTCATCACCAAGAGGACCTCTCTTGAGTCGACTCAGAAGTCACCTGAGCAGACCAGCCATTGCCCAGCCAGTAACTTAACTGAAGCCACGGCCTTCACCACCACAAAGCCCTCTCTTCATAATTCTCGTAACCTCAGCCGCAGCTGCTCTGCTGTTGGCTCCCGTGCCCTCCACCCAGTGCTCCCCTGCTCCCCTGCACTCCAACCATGGCCGCATGGCAGGGGAGAGACAGGGTTATTACCGTCTGCAGGCGATGCTGCTGCAATGCCTCCTGCTCGCTTGCCTGTGCATGCTGCTGCTTTGTCCGGTGACAGGCGGAATGGTCAGAGGGGTGTTGGAGTTGATGATTGGGGACGGAGCAACAGCCGACCGTGCCAGCAGGTGCGGAGACACTCGGATGGCTCGAGCGCAAGAGAATCTTCCTCTGTTGCTAGGAATAATCGAAGCATCAGCGTGACCACTCGCAGCTGCAGCTTTCCAGGAAACTACAGGAGCTAGGCGTCAATGAGTAGAACCCCCTCTGATGCACCGGAACGACATGTTTTCCGGTGAGACCGTGAGACGGTGAGACAATCCCCACTCATGCGCCATTGTTTCGGAGATGGTGAGAGCTGGAGGGTGAGACTTCGGTGAGCAATGAAGGCGTATTTGATCCCTCGCCTATCAGGAGGGCACGTCTGCTCGGGATGGTTCAGTGTGAAGCAGCAGAGGGTCTTTGAGGTGCTTGGGTGAAGAAAGTGGCATTCAGCATGCATGCCCCCTGTTGCTGCCAGGAGGACACGTCTGCAGCGGATGGTGGAGTGTCAGGCAGTAGAGGGGTTTTTACTCTTCAAGTCAGGCGCTTCTAAAGCAGAAAAAAACTTTCTACCGCCAAGCTGGGTGGTGAGTGTATGCATGTTTCAGCTAGCAGATGTGGCTGGATTGGAGTTTTGGCACATGCCGAATGAAGATGCAAGCGAGTGCATTCCAAGAATGGGATGGCATGAGAGGAGGACTTGATTTCTTGGGTCCAGTCCAGATATGTGATGTGGTGATGATATGGCATGTTTTCTTCGTGTGACTAGGCTGTACGTCACAATTGATAAGCTTTCAATGTTACTACCATATGCTTTTGCATGCCGTTCAGTGGGAATGGTGAAGGCAAGCACATAGGAAAGGTCGGCAGGTACTAGTAATTTGGTCTGGACTCGTGCTTACAGCTCATTGGTTGAACAAAATGCAATCCCGATTCGGAATAACAAAACATTCTCTGCTACCGTACCTCTTCGAGCATGCTTTCATTCTCCAGCACCCCACACAGCCACATGTGTCAGTGCAGAGGGGGGCTCTCTTACAAGCCTTCAAGCAGATCGAGGTAGTAGGCACCCTAAAAAGATGCCTGACAGCCGGTGTTTGCTGCATGTCTAATCTCCTGCAAAGGCCAACGAGAGGGGAAAATGCTGCAGATAGCAGCATCAGCTCTCACCTGCACAATAACCATTTATGTATGCTATTTTCAGAGTTATTTTTGTCAAAAAGCTCCCACTAGCGCCTTGCGTGGGTAGGTGCGGGCGTTTTCACTGTACGAGGACGAAACGCCAGCAGCCAGCTCTATTGCGGAGGCAGTTTCATCGTCCAGCGTTTCCGCGCGCACAAAGCGACAAAATGCGCAGTCCGAATGGGCGAGATCGGTACACCTGTAATCGCCTACAGTACCGTCAATAAACCCCTCCGCGTTGTCGCCAGGAACCACTTGGGTCTTGAAAAGGTTGCTCCACACTAGCTTCTGCCGCTCACTGCATAAAAAACAATGGAGAAGGGGCAGGAACGAGAAGAACAAAGGATGAGTGGGTGCGAAGGGAGTGAGGGATAGGGGGGAAGGATCTAGTGAGGAAGGGAAAGTGAGGGAGAGGAATAGGTGCGGCTTGTCTGAAGAGGTGAAGTGGGGGGAGTGAGTGGAAGGGATACAGTGGAAGAGCAGGGGGGGAGGAAAGACTGACGAAGGAGAGGGAGAGAGAGCATGGGCATAGGAGAATGGGTGGGGAGTGAGGAGAGGGTGTGGAGGAAGAGGGTTGGGAGAGGAGGGGATGGTGGGAAGAGAGAGGGGGCGGGGAGAGATAGGAGAGGGCGGGGGGAGAGAGAAAGGGGCGGGGGGAGAGAGGAGGGGGCGGGGGGAGAGAGGAGGAAGCGGAGGGGAGAGGAGGGGGCGAGAAGAGAGGGGAGGGGGCGGGGAGAGGGGGAGAGGACTGGGAGAGAGAGGAGGCGGCGGAAGAGAGAGAGAGACTCACAGCCGTCCGATGAAGTCAGGGCGGAACGTCTGACCCAGCACGCCGTGCACGTTGGGCGACAGCTTCGCGCTCACCACGTCCACCGTGAAGTGCACCACTCCGTCGTCGTCCGTGCGCAGCGCTGCGATCTCGGGTCGCAGCGTCAGCCTGAGCGACAAAACGTCGCCTATGCGAACTTCGTACTCGTCAACCAGCTCGCCCTTCGCGGGTTTTTTCGCCGCTGCCCATCGCAGCTCAACCTGCCCGTCGAAAAACGATGCGACATCCAGGTGCGAACCAGGCCGGCCAAGTTTCACGTCTTCCGAATCAACCGACAGCCGTTGGAGGTAACCGTTTCGGTAACTAGACTCCCACCCTTCGCGAGCCTCGAAAACGATGGAGTGGTGGCCCCATAGAATCGAGATCTCTCGCATCCACGTCAGCGCCTTGTTGCGTCCCTCCCATTCGCCCCACCGCCCCCCGAAATGCGCGTTTACTGCCACGTGTACGTCGGAGATCAGAGCGTAATTCTCGCCGGGGCGCCCGCTGAAATCGTACCGCGACCCGTCCGCGCCGACGAAGTGCGGGTCGCCGGTTCCGTTCGCCGGGCAGATTTTGCCGACAAAGTTGACGGCAGGCAGGTTGCTGTCGTCTTCTGACGGAAGCACGAAACGGCGGCCCCTGCATGCAGCTTCGCCGAAGCAGCTGCAGAGTCCTGTTGGGGAGAGAAGGAGGAAGAACGGCCAGAGATTAACGCACAAATAGTACATGGTTCGGCTTTGAGGCGTCTTAACAAACGCACGAATCAATACATGGCAAAGTGACAGGGAGAAGAGCACGAAGAACGCGAGGCGATCAATGACAAAGAGGACGATCTCGAAAACGTACCTCCGGTGGTAGCGTCGGTGAAGGGCTCATATTGCCAGTAGACTACGGGGCTCCCCGCGCGCGGCCGTCCAGGCCTCTGGTTGCGGTTCTTGCACTCGCGCCAACACTCTATGGTGTTGCTGTCATCGCTGCGGCGGCCGTCGTTCGAGGAGTTCTCCCCGGCGAGAACGACGGAGTACCTAGGATCGATCGATGTGTCGAATCGGCCGTTACGGTGCGACCCGGCTTGGCAAGGGAAGAGAGGGCACCCGCGGCGCCTCCTATTGGGGCTGGGCCTCTGACGGACGGAGTTCGTCGTCGTTCCGTCAGGAGCTCCGTTTCCGTCAGACCCCGGCGTCCCGTCAGAATTTCCGTTACCGTCTGCCGGCTGGGGTTCATTCGGGGACGTCTGTGAGGGTTCTGTCACCGAATCATTGGCACCGTCGCCAGGGCTGGTATTGGTGGTGTCGCCAGGGCTGGTATCAGTGGCGTCGCCGTTAGGGGAATTGACAGCAGGATCTCCAACGTCGGGGCTGACGGTGAGATTAGGGTTCGCAACGAAGCCAGGGTCTTGGCTGGGATTGGTCACGGATTCATTATTGTTGAAATCGCTGTTATTGGCGATGCTGTCGGTTTGAGCTCGCACCCTGGTGACGCATAGAAGCAGAGAAAGAAGCAGGCGATGTCGACAACTGAATCCAGAAATCGTCATTTTGTTTGTGCAGGCAACGCTGGTGAGCCCCCAGCGGTGCTGGTGAGAAGTGCAGATGCGAGTGGGGCGAGACGAAAGCAGAGTTGGCGTGTCAGACGAGACCAGATGAGATGATGAGAAACTGGCGGGATGGAGCGCAGAATTTGAGCTTTCAATTTTGTCGGGTCGGGTGGAAGAACGAGCCGCGGATTTTCGATTGACCTGCGGTTTCTTCGAGCCGCGGTTTGGCTGAAATGAGGCCGAGCCGCAACCGAAAACAGACAAAACAGGTGAGTTGCTGAAGTTGAGCTGTTACGCACGGTTGGGTTTGGCACTTCGCACACATCCCATCAACCAATTAGGGCCCTTTATTCGATGTCGCACACGGTGATGTCTGCTTGGTTCCGTCGTTCAGCTCGCGAGTCGCAACCCAGCACTTCGCAAAGCAGATGAAGCCAGCTGAGGAAAGGGTTGTTCGGTACATTTCGGTTCGTCTTGGTCAATACATTTAACATTTCGACTTCCCTACAACATCTAAGTACCTGCTAACATAAATCGAACACATGACATATAGCCCAAAGACTAGGCTAGACACTAAGGTTATCTTTCAAACTGTGAGCTCCGAAGTGCACACTTGCTGCTCAATTTATTCACGTTTCTTCCAACTTTTGAACCACTTCATATGATTCAATTCTTTCCCATAAATCTAGAAGTGGCTAAGGTCGTTGAACAACTCATCATCAAGCGCAGCTTGAGCTGAACGGCATGCAGCCATGCGTTCCCTGAACTGAACGATGGCCCTCTTTTCACTAGCCTTGAAGCGCTGAAATCAAGTGCAAAAAATAGGATAGGGGCACGAAGTTTGAGGCAAAAAGAGGGAAAAAGGGGGGGGACAGTTATGCAAGGGATCTCCGAACCAGTGCTTAGTAATCCACCTATCTGTTCCCAACATTTTTTGCTGTGGTTCACCAATAAAGTCTCACCTTCATCAACGACCGTATTCCCTTCTTTCTTTGTTCAATTCCAAATGCACATCACTACCAACCACCCCCACTATTGCCCAGTTCCACACAACTCACAATCTTCTTGCCCGTCTGCAGCATCTCTGCCAGGTATTTGAGCCAGAGACTGTTGGTCTGGGGGCACCTGGAAGAGGGACAAGAGATGACACGGGGAAGCAGGGCGAGAGTGACAAGAAGGAGGACGAGGAGAGGCACGGTGGCATCGGTGAAAACAGCAGTGTGTGTGCAAACCGCCTGGGCAGAGTGGGAGTAGGACTGAGAAACTGGGTGTGCGTGCGTGCAGGGACCAAAGCAGCCTGTCTCTAAAGTGGGTGTGAGTGCAAATTGCCTGGGCATTGCGGGAGCAGGATTGAGAAACCAGGTCTGCGTGCTTGCGTGGAAAGGTGAGAAACGAAAGCACAGAAGTGCTAACAAGATGACGGGGTGATTTGTGGAAGCATGCAGCTGGAAAGGACCAATGAAATGCACGCAGCTGCTCATTCAACCTGCAGAGACCAGTGTGGTTTCATTCTGGTTCCTTTGAGGCGCCTCAGAAACTACTACCTACCATCTATCCCAGCGTCCTTTCGTCTTCTTCTTCATCTCTCTGTACGTGTCAAACTGCAGATAACGCACAGCCACACAGCACCATACAGCACCACACATCACCACATGATTCAGTAATTGGAACAATACAGTTTGACACAGGGCAGGAAAATGAAGCATGATGGCATAACAGGGAGAGGAGCCCCATGCCCCTTTGGACCCCACAAAGCCTCAAAATAGAACCTGCAGTGACTAGGGATTTTGCTGCACGTGGGCGGCGCTCACCGAGCGGTGCTCACCTGGGGGTGGCCCTTATCGCCCTGGAAGATGGATGGCTCTTGGGAGAGGTCGCTGAAATGCACTCGCGCACCTGCAGAGCACGAGCACACCAGTTTGGGTCCGTGCAAACCAGGAAATTTCTTTTAGGCGGTTCAACAGTTCTGAAGCGCCTCAAAATCTGCTCCGGGGAAAGGCACTCAAGAGCGTGCATGGAGATGCAGTTGAACCAGAGTGAAGAAGCACATCTGATAAGGTTGTGAGAGAAGAAGCACATCTGATAAGGTTGTGAGAGAAGAAGCACATCTGATAAGGTTGTGACTTTTGAGAATGGCACCTGACTGGAGGCGGGACAGGGAGAATTCAATGATCGCCACTCGACTCGAAGGTCCTTCTCAAGGAAGCACCGCTGCTGACGAAGATGCATGGGAACCACACAACAAATGGCTCTTTCAATGAGAATGTGACAAGAGGGACGCACCTGACTGGAGGCGGGAGAGAGAGAAGTCGATGATTGCCACACGACGGCCCTTGTCATGGAAGCACGAGCACCGCTGCTGCTGCTGCTCCGGCTGCAGAGTGTGAACCTAGAAACAAAGTGCTCTTTCAGTGAGGGTGGGATACGAGAGACGCACCTGACTGGAGGCGGGAGAGGGAGAAGTCGATGATTGCAACACGAAGGCCCTTGTCATGGAAGCACCGCTGCTGCCCATTCAGCCTAAACCATTGCACTCCCTCTCCCTCGCCCTCGCCCTCTCCCTTGCCTGTCCCCTTGTTGCTAGCATTGCTGTTCCCAGTGCTGTTCATGCTGGCAGTGCAGTCACTCAGCGCCTTTGTGTGCTCGCGCCTGTGAGCAGCACTCGTGCCCGTGCCAGCCCTCTCAACCCGGCTTGCTTGTGTGCGATGAATGAGGACGTTGCCCCTGAGTGGGTGGGTGGGTGGGTAGGTAGGGGTTTGAAGCATGGCAGGGGATAGAGATGAGGAGAGCTGAGCGGGTAGTGCAGTGCAGTAAGCACGGCCTTTGCCTGCTCGCGCCCGTGAGTGGCACTCGTGCCCATGCCAGCCCTCTCGGCCCGGCTTGCTTGTGTGCGATGAATGAGGACGTTGGCCCTGGGTGGGTTTGGGGGGGGGCGCGAGAGGAAGAAAGCGGAGGATTATTATGCATTTAGAGTGCACAGGTTATCGAGTCGATTCACTGTGCGTGCCGATTACCATATGTTTGCGCATATATTGTGTGAATGTGATGAATGAGGACAGGAGGCGAGGCTAGTGTGCAGCCACGACTGCAACGTACCAGCGCAGGAGGTGCTCAAACTCACATGCTGCCTCCACCACTGCCACAGCATACCAGTACCACAGCCACACCGCACTGCACCACACCATACCACAGCATACCAGTGCAAGTCGCGGTGCTCAAACTCACACGCTGCCTCCGCCACTGCCAGCCCTGCTGCCACCTGTATAGGGTTGATGCGGTGCAGAGGGGCAGAGTGAGGTGGTGGGTGAAGTGGGGTAGAGTGCAGAGAGCAGGGATGTGATGTGATGTGGAGCGGTGGGGAGGGAGATATGCATGGACGATGGGAGACGGCAAGAATGGAGGAACATAAGGGTCTCATCAGCAGCAACATTCGACAGTGACAGGCACACGTGCCCCATTCGCCTCCTCATGCCCCATCTGCCTCACCTGCAGCTACATGCTGCGCACCTCATCAAAGGAACGCTCGGATAAGAGCCTTAACTGAAGGCTGATGCCACTGCAAGCACACTCTGCTGCTGAACACTGTAGCTAATCTGAAACAGTACCCTTTCATTGCCTCACCTGCCCCACCTGCCCCACTTGCCTCATCTGCCCTGCCTGCCCCACCTGTGCCCCACTTGCAGCTACATGCTGCACGCCTCATCAAAGGAACGCACTGGAGAGAGAATTATCTGAAGCTGACGCGACTGCAGGCACACTGCGGTGTTCACTGAACCTAAACCAGTACCCTTCCACTGCCTCACCTGCCCCGTCCGCCTCACCTGCCCCGTCCGCCTCACCTGCCCGGTTTTCTTCACCTGCCACATCCTTTACACATACCCCGCTCGCTGCCTCACCTACAGCATTCAACAATACAAGTCTCACCTGCAGCAAGATGCTGCGTGCCTCATCAAAGGAGCGCACTTGAGCCTTCTCCAAGTCGCTGCCGCCCATCTCCAGAATAAAGACAACGTATGCCTGCCCAGGACGAAATGAACTTACGTGGGTCAGATATGGTAGGTATGCCGTGTTGAACTAAGCAGCTTGAGAAAAGGGCAAAGCATGCCAACACAAGGGTAGGAAGAGGGGAGGGAAGACGCATGGTGCGTGCACGTAAATTAAGATGCATGGAATGCCATGAAATACCCTTCACATGAAGAAGGTCTTTTGGCCAACTCGAAGCATGAAGAGCCACGAATACCTGATGGCTGAGCGAGCCACGAATACCTGATGGCTGAGCGAGCACAAACTGCCAGTCTCAGATTCACCAGGTCACAAGGGACCGTACGAAGCATGAATTGAAATGGATCCTTACCTGGTCGGAGGGGAAGATTCCTGGGTGGTCGTTGAGCGACTGGTTCTCATCCGCCCACTCCTCCCATGCACGCACGAGCACAGGTGAGTACACCCCCCTGCACACGCGCACCCTGCTCGTTGAACCACACAGGTGATGGGGGATTGGGGGGAGAGGACACGCGGTAGGAGAGACACTGGCGTTAGGGTAGGGTGGAGCTGGTGCATCAAGGCCTCCTTCTCGTTCATTTCTGAGATTTTACAAAAGAGAATGACACTGTCTCCATGACAAACTTTTGGTCCAAGTACTGGTGGACGCACCCCCCTGAACTGCACACACGCACCCTGGTTTTGCTCCTGGTGAAGAGCTTGAACAGATGCGCTGTGGCATGAGGCTGCATGCACGTTGGCGGCTGCTTTTGAGCCGACTCCCAAGAGCCACACAAATATTCGTTACAGTCACACACACACGTACCCTTTACAGTCGATAAAGGAGGCAGTTGAGTGCAGCAGGCCATTCTCATGAAAAGTTTCGTGCCCATGCTCCTGCCCATCGCCATGTTTATGCCCCTGTTTTTGCCCGTGGCCTCGCCTCAGCCGCTGCAGAGCCATCTGCACCTCAACCTCAGCCAGCATCTCTCCAACACTCTGAATCGTTCCGTGCCATGCCATGCCATGCCATGCCATGCCATGCCATGCCATGCCAGGCCATGCCATGCAACCCATTCCATTTCCACTCCCATGCCCATGCCCAAACCGTACACATGCCCATACCCATGTCCACACCCAGCAATGCAATGCCCCATGCCATTGCACGCATGCATCCATCCATGACCACCAACACACGCAACAGGACAACAGCTCATGCCAATGGATACAATCCAGCGCATGAGAAGAGAAGAACCAGGGTTGTGAGACGTCTCAAAAGGATGTGCAAGCGAGCAAGTGAGGAGGAGAAGAGTCACAGGGACCATAGATAGGGATCACACTTGCACCACAAGAGGGACCACTTACTCACCACACAGTACTGACTATGAGAATTCACCTACTCACCTTTCGCCGCTCATTGTTGACCAGCACTCCGTCCCCACTGACACTAACCTCAGGCAATCTCATTTTCCCTCCTCACCATGCAGCACCACTGTACCCACTCACACCACACAGCACCAGCTCTCACCTCATGGCCCCAAATTGCATCCCACAGCACCGACTATGAGAACTCACTTTCTGCGGCTCATCGTTGACCAGCACTCGCCCCCCCACAGGCACTATCTTAAGGCACACGCCTCCCTCTGCTCCCTCTGCTGCAAAAGCTTCCGCGAAGCTTCCCTCCCCTATCTTCCGGATGGTCTTCAGATTGCTGCCACGTGATAATAAGAACCGAGGGGGAGATGCCAAGGGGAGGGAACAATTTTTGGGTTACATCATGGAGGACAGTGGCAGTGCTTCTGTTTCTTAGTTGGTTAAAGTGATCAAAGTAAGGTCCACCAGAATTGGATGATGGCTTGCTTGCATGGAACATATGCTCCATGCAGCATATGTTCAGGTCAGGTGGCGGCAATAATTACACTTGGTACGAGATCACATGTAAGTCCCACTGCAGCTGAGTGATGGCTTGGCTTGCTCCTTAGAGCACATGTGCAGCTGGCAGCACACTTGAGAGTTCTTGGAGTAGAAACTGTTGAGAATGATCACAACAAGTATAAGTAAGCGAGGCTCACCAGAACTTAGTAATGGCTTGCTCCATGGAGCACATGTGCGGCTGGCGACAGGCAGCAAGCAACGCACGCAGCCCATCATCCTCCTCCTCCTCCTCCTCCTCCACCTCCACCACCTCGTCCTCCTCCTCCTCCGCCTCCACCTCTTCCCCTCCAGCAATATCACCGCTCTCCTTTTCACTTTGACCCACATCCTCTCCGCCAGTATCACCTTCCTCCTTCACGCTCTGCTCGTCTGCCCCTGGTGCCCTCTCCTTGCTCGCTCCACAAGCAACGCTGCTCCCCGCCTCATTGCTGCAGCTTCTTCTGCTGTAGCGTGCATCAATGCTGCTGCTGCCTGACACAGTGTCACCACCACGCTCTCGTCCCTCGTCCCCAGCCTGTGCCGTCAATTCTGCCCCCTTCTGCCCCTCATCCCCTTCACCACTCGACTTGCTCCTCCCCTTGCCCCTTGCCTTTGTCAATGCCCGCGCCTGCACCCCACCTGCCTCTTCTCCTCCTGCTCTCTCTGCTCCGCCTGCTCCGCCGGCTCTTTCTGCTTTTGGACGTGCTCTGGTCTTCCGTGTGCCTACCTTCCCCTCCACTTTAACCACGTCCTCACCCCCCTCCTCTCCTGCTGTCTCCTCACCAGCACTCTCCATCTCTCCCACACCACCCCCATGCAGACTCAGACCAGCAAGACTCTCCACTAGCCCTTCACTCTCACATCTCCCCACCCTCTCGTCACCCCTCTCAACCACACCACACACCTCCTGCACCTCCTCAGCAGCACAGCTCACACCCTCCTCCTCCTTGCATCCGACCCCCCTCTCCTCCTCCCGCCTCATTCTCGCACGGCCAGCTTCATTCTCACAAGACTGCTTCTCCCGGTGGCCTTGACGGGCAGGCACGGTCCTTGTGCGCCCAGTGCTTCGCGTTGCACGCCTGCTGCTCTCATCAGGAGTATACCTTCTTTCCCCTCCTCCTGACGCACCCAAGCTGCTACGAGACTCGCGATGGGTGCTTTGTGTTGCACGCCTGCTGCTCTCATCAGGAATATCCCTTCCTTCCCTTCCTCCAGACGTACCCAAGCTGCTCCTCAACGTGCGGTGGGTGGTTTGCAAAGAACCATTCATGCTATGGCGGGTATGTGCTCCTCGCTGCTCTGGTGGATAAACGGCCGCAGCAGCAGCAGCAGCAGCAGCAAGCCACATTTCTTGCACTCGCAGGAGAGGGAGAAGGAGCAGGTGCAGGAGCAGGAGCAGGAGAACGAGAAGGAGAAGGAGCAGGAGAAGGAGAAGGAGCATCAGTGTGAACATCAGCAGCAGCAGCAGCCACTGTGGCCCTCTTCTCGTGACCACCATCACCACTACCGGCAGTAGCAGCCTTTTTGGCAAACGCCCCAGGAGCTAGCGTGTTTCGGCGCATGCTGCTTCTCAGGACTCTTTGGATCGGCTGATACGCTCCCAGACTCTGCCTCCCATGCTGCCGCTGCTGCTGTTGCTGCTGCTGCTGTTGCTGCCGTCGCTGCTGCCTCTGCTCCTCCGGCTGCTGCTGTTGCTTGCCTTGCTCCACGTGTCTCCCCCTCACTTGTCTCTTCAGCTCTGCCGTTTCCTCCGGTGCACAGGCGGAATCATGCACCTCATCGTCATCAGAGTCTTCAGAGTCCTCATTCACTTCCGGCTCATTAGAGCCATCAGAATTGAAAGAGCCATCACTGCTGCACGCAGTGAGATCCACCACGTCCTCTTCAATGCTCATGCTCATGCTCGTGCTCATGCTCACGCCCTCAGCAAAGTCATCAGGATCTAGCAGCAGGGTGCTGCCACCACCAGACGACTCCCTTAGTCTATGCCGTGCCTCCAACCCATGCGGCACCCCCTCAGTCTCTTCCCTCTCCACCTCACCTGCCCCTACTGAAGCCACTTCCTCTGAACACACCTCCTTTGATGATGCCACGTTCGCCTCCCCTTCACTTCGTGAATGCCCTTGCCCCTCCGGCCCATCTACCACACACTCATTTCCAGCTGACAGCTCGCTAAAGGCACCTCTGTTATAGCCACTCTCGGGTTTCGCCCCACCGCTCTCCTCCTCCAGTCGCCCACCTTGGGCGCCCCAGCACCCTTTCACAACGGTACTCTCCCCCTCCTCCCCTCTTTTCTCTTCTCCAGCGCCCCAGCACTCTTGCACAACGGTGCTCTCTTCACCCTTCCCCTCTGCTCCACCGTCCTTTCTCCTCCACCTGCCCGCACTCCCCGTGTCTCCCTCCTCCCTTGCCTGCCCTTCCCGGCTCTCACCAACAGCAGTGCTGGCAGGCACACCTGCCCCACTGCTTGGAGAAATCCCTGCTATTCCAACAGCTCCTACGGCTGTCACAGCGCCTGCCATTCCCCCCTCTGGCTCTGAACCTACCTCTGGCCCTGAACCTGTCCCACCTCTCGGTGTGCTGCCCATTGCACCAGGGCTAGCGGTTGTGGGGACACTGTCAGTGTCAGACAGCTTGAGGCTGCTGAGCTGTGAGTAGAGGTATGCGTCAAATGAGATCTCTGCCCTGGTAGCCTCGCCTGCATGTTCCTCCTCCTCCTCCTCCTCCTCCTCCTCCTCCTCCTCCTCCTCCTCCTCCTCCTCCTCCTCCTCCTCCTCCTCCTCCTCCTCCTCCTCCTTCTCCTCCTCCTCCTGTTGCACTTCTCCTGTCTTTTCCTCAAAACATCCTCTTCCTTCTTCCTCCTCGTCCTCCTCTTCCTCCTCTTCCTCCTCTTCCTCCTCTTCCTCCTCTTCCTCCTCCTCCTCCTCTTCCTCCTCTTCCTCCTCCTCCTCATCCTCCTCCTCATCCACCCTCCGCAGTGCACCCAGCAGCCCAGCTTCCCTAGCCATAAACTCCGGCACCCAGTCGCCCCCAACTCCCCCATCCCCATCCCCTCTCCCATCCCGTCCCCCATCCCCTCTCCCATCCCGTCCCCCATCCCGTCCCCCATCCCCTCCCCCATCCCCTCCCCCATCCTCTTCCGCACCACCATCCCCCGAAGGCGGAACATACCAGCACCACCCCTGAAACGCATTCAGCACACTCTCAACTCCCTCATCCCTCGCCCTCCCCTTATCCACCCACTTGTTCAGCTGCTCCCGCTCCTCCTCCGCCTCCTCTTCCTCCTCCTCCTCCATCTCAAACTCATCTACTTCCTGGAAGAACGCGCGCAGTCGTCGGTATTCCTCTGCCCGCCTGCCCTGCTCTGCTGCGGCTTTCCCGCTGGGCTTCTTCTGCCGCCCTGCTACTGCTCTGGCCGCTCCCGTCTGCTTTACTCCACCCTGAAGATACAGAGAAGAAGGGCGCGAAAAAAAGGTAGGGATTAGAGGCATCACGCTGGTACTCCTCAGCGCGCTGGCCCTCCTCTGCTGCCGCTTTGCCACTGGGCTTCTTCTGCCGCCCTGACGCTGCTCTGGCCTTTCCCTTCTGCTTCAGTCCACTCTGAAGAACCAGGGAAGAAGGGAAAGGTGAAGAAAGGTCGGGAATTAGAGGCGTCAAGGCAATCATGTCTTTCCCCGTGCTCCTCAGCGCAACGACCCCGCGCTGCGTGAATAAAGTGATTTTTTGAGACGTCTCAAAAAGTGCTCCTCAGCACAACAACCCTGCGCTGCTGCTGCTTTTTCGATGGGATTCCTCTGCCGCCCTGACACTTCTCTGGCCGCTCCCTTATGCTTCACTCCACATTGAAGACAACCAGGAAAAGGGGAAAGGCGAAGAAAAGGTAGGAGCACCAAGGGGAGCATCAGAGGAGCAGCAAAGGAGCAACAGAGGAGAAGAGGCGAGGAACGCGGGAGAAGAGAGGACAAGTTACCTGCGTTGTGGGCGGTGTTGCACTAGCAATGGAGGGCGACGCTGACAGAAAGCTGTATCGCCGCGCCCTGTGTGGATGGGTCGATAGGTTGGGGAAGACAGAGCGGGAGATGGGATGAGGTGATGATGGTTTAGGGAGGGCCACACGTGGGAGTCACAGTAAGAGACAGTGCACACTACGTGGTAATATGCTGCTCTGCACACTCTGCACACTGCGCACTCAACTCAAGGTACGCATCAAACTGTGATGGTAGTGAGCGATGCTGCATCATGTAGGGTGTGCTCAGAACACCATACTGCGTGGCTTCACAGATAGAGGAACACGTATTGTGCATGCATCCACTGCATAATGTGCTTTCATGGATGAAAAGTCTAGGAAGAAATGCACTCTGGCTTGAATGTTCGATTGGCGTTGCACGGATCAGCAGCCATTGATGGTTCTTTCCATAAGAGAGTGAGAAAGAGAGACAGTGGACCCTAAGGCTCTCGAATCCAGCTGAAGGCTCCTAAGTCCAGATCTCTGATATTCGGGCTCATTTAGTCCACATGATGTGTCAACGGATGAGTTTGAGACGCGAGTAGGTTTAAAGAGCTTTTGGTCGACCACTAGAACTCACCTGCTGGAGAGGGAGGATCCGAAGGCGCTCACGCGCCTCCTCCCACCGCACAGAACCGAGTCACATGCCTGACTGCTGCACTTGGATTCTGAAGTCGCCGCCGATCTGGTGAAGACGACAGGCGAAAAGAAGAACATGATGCAAGCAAAAGAAGCATACACACAGCGGAATGAACGCGTTGAAGCAGTGGAATTGGGCGGGCCGCTGCTGTTTGCCATGCCTCTACTGTTCGTCATGCCTCTCGTTACGACGAGTTGGCGACAGGAAAATGGGACTTGGTGCATAGCGATGAGAGAAAAAAGAGTCGTAAATTGCGTCATAAGAAGTCGGGAGGAGTCAGAATAACGACACAGGTTATCAAGCACAAGGAGCCGGAATGAAAATAAAGCATACATGCTTCACCACTGAACAAACAATCAGCAACTGCTCGTTTACATGGCACCCCACGGATAAATGCTCGCGATACAGATGCACAGTACCGAGGGGTTGTCGATCCCCGTGGCCGTCTCGTCTGAGCTCGTCTGGACGCCAAGGGACGGCGATTGTAGACCTTCAACGGACGATCGCTGAGGTCAAGTGATTGCGACGATTGCCATGTTGACACTTTGAATTCTTCAATATCGGAAGTGGAGTCGACATTTGTGACATCCGCACGGTAAGGTTCTTCTCGGTCGCTGGGAACGGACGGCGATGGAAGTGGTGCTGTCGACTCGGAAGCTTTTGCCGAACCCATGCTTACTAGCGCACTCGACCGTGGAGGCTTGGTCCTGACCATATTTCTACTCTAATCGCTTTGGAAGCGAACGGCAGGATAAAAAAAAACGTCTGACAACTACTCAAACAGCTCTGGACACGAAGGTTCTTCTTCCATAAAACGCAACGACGGTCACGCAGGCACTCTAACGGAGTTCGTCACGCAGACATTGCTTCACGATAACAGGATCTTTACTGCATGTATCGAAATAGGGCAAACAGCGTGATTGGCTTTAGCTAGCTACCTAATGCATTCGGATTCAACTTCAGAGAAACGATATATGAGAAATCGCAGCCAGTGGAGAGCATACTCTTGGGGGGTTGGAAGTTGGTTGACACACCGAGGAGGAGATTTCGAGGGAGAGACTTCGAATGTGGGCGGGAAGAGGGGAAAGGAGAAGGATCACGCCTGATTGGCCAGATAGATTTGGCGGGAGGTCTGACACCACATTTCGAAAACTCTCGCTACAAAGGCTTCGGTGTAGCGTTCATGGACATATGTGAAACGTGCATAACTGAGAAAATTTTCGTGTGAAACATTACAGTGTTGGGAAGGCAACCCAACCCCTATGGCCTTGATGTTGGTCTCATCGTCAGAGGATCTGGTTCGGGCTCAAAAGCTCGTCCCAGCAAAGCTTACTGAAGCTGACACATTCGCAAGGTTCATGGCTTTCACCGATATCAACTACCCCAAGGCTCGTCGCGATGAGTCCGTTGTCGACGATTATCACGGGACGAAGATTCCCGATCCATACCGTTGGATGGAAGATCCCGATAGTCAGGAAACTCGCGATTTTGTCACAGCGCAAAATGCAGTAACGAATGAGATTCTATCGGGGATAAAGGATAGGGAGAAGCTGAAGGAGAGACTGACGGAACTCTTGGATTCTCCCGAGTACGGTTGTCCGTTCAAGTATGGCAGTAACTACTTCTACTTTCACAATACTGGGCTCCAAGCACACAGTGTTCTCTACATGCAGGTTCGTTATCACCTATAAGCCAATAGTTATAACCGTCATACTCGCACGATAGGCTACTATGGATGAAACATCCTTGGTAAAGGCGCCAGTTTTGATCCTGCATTGTCTTAATTTGCGAATTTTTTTTTTTCTTTTCTTTTATGTCCAAACAGAAAGCGCTAGAAGACGAAGCCGAGATACTGCTGGATCCGAACACGTGGAGCGACGATGGGACTGTATCTCTTGGCGCGTACGCTTTTAGCGAGGATGGCGAGTACCTGGCGTACGCCGTGAGCCAGAGCGGCAGCGATTGGAACCCCATCAAGGTGCTGCGCGTGGGGACTAAGGAGAACGAGCCTGACGAGCTCAAGAACGTGAACTACACGTCCATTGCGTGGACGCACGACAACAGGGGTTTCTTCTACAACCGATACGACGGTGCAGTTCATTGCTCATGCTCAATTCCATCAGTTGTGAGACAGAAGTGACATAAGTTGTGAACCCCATCAAGGTGCTGCGCCTGGGGACTAAGGAGAACGAGCCTGACGAGCTCAAGAACGTGACCTCCTCGTCCATTGCGTGGACGCACGTCCGCAAGGGCTTGTTTTACAGCTGATACGGTGGTACCAGCTTATGCTCACTTTCATCAATTGCTTGTAACGAGGGTTGATTCCGATCTCGCACAAGTTCTCTTGCATTGATTCACTTAAGACAACACATTTTGCGGCTGCTTAGAACCAACCCGTTTCCCAAACTCTCGATCTCTCTTCCCGGCCTTTGACTTCGAGAACACTGAAGATCCCATCCCCATCCGTCTGCCCCTGTCGTCGTCCACTCTCATTCATTCCCCGTGTCTTTCTGCCTTGGCGCCGACGACAGGAGTGGATGCGGAGGGTGGGACAGCAGGGATAGCGCAGGTAGTAAATCAGCGGGTGTACTACCACGTGCTGAGGCAGGCACAGGCTGACGATGCGCTGTGCTGGGAGAGCAAGGCCCATCCCACGTGGATGTTTGGCTCAGAAGTCAGCGACGACGGTAAGGCATGTGCTCTCCTTTTCTCTCCCTCTTCCTGTCCCTCTCACTCTCTTCCCCCCTCCCTCTCGTGCCTTCTGAACCCTCACTGTATGTGTTGTGCTGACAGTTTCGCATGGGTTTCGTTCTGCCGCCCGTCCCTTTTCGTCTGGCGATTGAGTGTGCTTGTAGGGATGGTCCCAAGTGGTTGCTGCTTGACATGTCCATTTTTGACTCCTTGAGCTCTTCCCTAATAACTCACCTACTCCTCCTTTCAGTTCTTCCTTGATAAGTCGAAATTTTCTCTCTAGATCGTCGTCTTCTCCCACATCCGGCTCCTCTCCTCCTCCTCCGTTCCTTCGTCCTCATGTGACATCCCATCTTCCTCTCCTTTCCTTCTCGACCTTCCGCCCTTCCCATTCCCCACCCTGCAGTACCTCATTATAAGCACATGGCCGAACTGTGATCACGCCAACGTTGTCCACGTCATCAACCATTTCCGAGAAAGCCATCTGCTCCCTCGTGCGGCTCCGCTCCTCATACGTGTTTTTGTCTCACTTTCCTCTCTCTTACCTCTTGCATTCCCTCCACCCCTCCATTCTCCACTCCACCCTGCAGTACCTCATTATAAGCACATGGGCCAACTGTGACCACTCCAACCTTGTCCACGTCATCGACCTCCAGCAGCTGCCACGTGGACGCCTGGATAGCAGTCCAGCTCACACTGCCCCTGCACGTGATGAGAACGATAGGAAGGATGAGGATAATGATAGCTTCGAGAAGGATGCGAGCAACGAGAATGATGAGACCATTGTTCCTAACGGGGATGATGGGAATGGTGGTAATGATGGTTCTGTGCGTCTGCCTGCAATCGCCCTCAGAAGCCGCTTTGACGGCATGTTCAGCTACGTGACCAATGATGGCCCTGCGTTCACCTTCCACACCAACAATGACGCGCCACGTGGCAAGGTGGTGCGGATTATTCTGCCAGAGGGTACTGGGTTGGACGGTGGACACGAGGAGGGGGAGGATGGATTGGGGGGTGCAGAGGGCAGGCAGAAGCGGAAGGAGGAGGAGGAGGAGGGAGAGGAAGAGGATCGGAGGTGGGAGGAGGTGATAGGGGAGGCGGAGGGGGATGTGTTGGAGTGGATCCGCTGTGTGAACCAGGACATGCTGCTGCTGTGCTACATGCGCAACGTAAAGAACGTGCTCGAGGTAGGCATGCATGGGAACGATCTTTCAGGCGTAAAAAAGGGTTTTAAAAGGACTTTAGGACTTGCTGCTGCTGTGCTGCTACATGCGCCATGTGAAATAAATACATGCTCTTTGGGAGTCACTTTAGAGATTTCTTATAAGTGACTTCCAAATTGCTACATGCGCCATGTGAAATAAATACATGCTCTTTGGGAGTCACTTTAAAGATTTCTTATAAGTGACTCCCAAATTGCTACATGCGCCATGTGAAATAAATACATGCTCTTTGGGAGTCACTTTAGAGATTTCTTATAAGTGACTTCCAAATTGCTACATGCGCCATGTGAAATAAATACATGCTCTTTGGGAGTCACTTTAGAGATTTCTTATAAGTGACTCCCAAATTGCTACATGCGCCATGTGAAATAAATACATGCTCTTTGGGAGTCACTTTTGAGAATTCTTGAAAATCACTCCCAAATTGCTACGTGCGCCATGTGAAGAACATGCTCCAGGTATGCAGACGCGCCTCTGACGGCTCCTCGTCACCGTGCCCCTCCCTATGGGCGCCGTTTCCGGCTCCTCGGGTCGCAGGAGGCTTTTTAAGCCAGCTTCACCCCTTCTATTCCTCTCTCCCTCACACATCCGCTCCTTCACTGACGCCTCACTGCTCTCCACCGTGCCTCTCCCCATGGGCGCCGTCTCCTCCTCCTTGGGCCGTTGCCACGACAGCGAGGTTGTTCTAGTCAGAATCACCTTTCTCCTCTCTCCCTCGCAGATCCGTTCCCTTACCGACGGCTCACTGCTCTCCACCGTGCCTCTCCCCATGGGCGCCGTCTCCTCCTCCTCGGGTCGTCGCAGCGACAGCGAGGCTTTCTTCTCCTTTGAAAGCTTCCTCTCCCCCCGCACTGTGTACCGCTGCGACCTCACCACACCTCACCCTGAACCAGAGGTGCGTGTGTGCTTGCCCTTCTTTCTGCTGCATGGAATGGGATAGTGCTCTCGACCTCCTTTGAGAGCTTCCTCTCCCCCCGCACCGTGAACCGCTGTGACCTCACCACCCCTCACCCTGAACCAGAGGTGCGTGCTTGCGCTGGTGTGAGATTGATGGATGGAAAGAGGGCGAAGCTTTCGTCCTTCCTTACTGCTTCCTCTCCCCACGACATCGTGTATCGTCGCGTCCTCACCTCACCGTCTCTCACCCTGCACCAGAGCCGTGCGCACTGGCTGCGATGGTTGTTGCATATAAATCAAGCTTGAGGTTTCTGTCTTTCTTGGGAAATTTCTCGAGCTGCGTGGGGAGTTCGTTAGGAGTTCATTAGGAGTTCATTAGGAGCTCGTTAGGAGTTCGTTAGGAGTTCTTTAGGTGTTCCTTAGGAGATCGTTAGGAGTTCGTTAGGAGTTTGTTAGGAGTTCCTTGAGGACACGTGTCACAATGACTGACGAAGTTTATTATCTCCTCCTTGGTGCGTGACATGTGCGTTGCCTCCTCTTACCTCTGCCCCCACGCTTCACATCCTTGAGGATGTATTGCCTCCTCTTACCTCGCATCTCACGATGCACGTTCATCGCCACCTGACTGTGTGCGCCAACCCATGCCTGACTCGTGTTTGCTTCATGACCCTCTGCTGTTGCCAGGTGTATCGGCAGCTGTCTGTCCCAGGCTTCGACCCCTCACTGTTTGAGACGCAGCAAGTGTTTGTTCCCAGCACTGATGGCACCAGGTATTCTTTGTGGTGTGGTGTGGGGTGATTGACTGTCAGGTCAGGTCACATGGCCACGTCATCAGTGTGCATCAACTGTGTTACTATGTAACATGATTTTGTCTCAGGATACATTCAGTAATACGACTTAAATGCTTATGTGACTGAATGCTTGTGGTGTGTCGTAAAGGCCTGCCCGGCACATCAGACCACTGCACTCTCCTCTACGGCTGTTGCGGCTTTAACATCTGCATCAAGCTGTCGTTCAGTGCGTCTCCCGTGCACCTGCTGCCCCCTTTTGAGGCGTCTCAAAAGTCGTCTCCCGTGCACCTGCTGCCCCCTTTTGAGGCGTCTCAAAAGTCGTCTCCCGTGCACCTGCTGCCCCCTGTTTTCCCACAGGATCCCCATGTTTGTGGTGTGTCGTAAAGACCTACCCTGCACATCGGACCACTTCGCTCTCCTCTACGGGTACGGCGGCTTTAACATCTGCATCAAGCCGTCCTTCAGCGTGTCCCGTGTGCTGCTGATGAGGCATTATGGTGCGGTGGTGGCAGTGGCGAATATCCGCGGAGGGGCCGAGTATGGGGAGAGGTGGCACAAGGGAGGCGCGCTGGGCAACAAGCAGCAGTGCTTTGATGACTTTTATGTGAGTGGGGCCTTGATGTGAGTGGGGCTTCGTTGTGAATGGGAGTTCTTCGTGAGTGGGACTTTCATTGCGTGGGGGCCTTTAACATCTGTATCAAGCCGTCCTTCAGTGTGTCCCGAGTGCTGCTGATGAGGCACTACAGTGCCGTGGTGGCAGTGGCGAACATCCGCGGAGGGTGGGAGTATGGGGAGAAGTTGCACAAGGGAGGCGCCCTGGGCAACAAGCAGCAGTGCTTTGATGACTTTTATGTGTGTGGGACTTCATTTCACGCTGCTGCATTCTCTGCTCAGATGCTTCATTCTTCATTTTCAGACCCACCATTCTGCACCATGTTCCCTTTTGACCTCGTTTAACACTTTAATAAAAAATCTCCAACAAAACCAGTGCTCCATCTTTTATCCTAGGTCCACCAGAGCTGCATCTGATTTTGTGCATCTGGTGGATCAGAACAAACTCAGTGCTCCATCTCTTCTATCAGATGCACCTGATAGGCAACCCTAATTGTGTGGTGACGCAAAATCGCCCATCCTTCTCTCCACCTTTCATCAGAGCTGCGCGGAGCATCTAATTAGCGAGGGGTACACATCGAATGAAGCTGGTGATAGAGGGTGCCAGCAAGACGACTCAAAAATGGCCTCCCAAGCTCCATAATACGGAGAACTGTGATCCCATTCTTCCTCCCACCCTTCATCAGAGCTGTGCGGAGCATTTGATAAAGGAGGGGTACACATCGCCCTCGAAGCTGGTGATAGAGGGTGGCAGCAATGGGGGTCTGCTCGTCAGTGCTGCCGTCAACCAGGTAGGTGTGTTGATGACCAAGGGCTGCGTATGAGCAATGATCATGTGTGCATGTGTGTGTATGCTGCTATGTGTGTGTATGTGGATATGTGTGTGTGTGTGTGTGTGCCTATTCTCCCTTCTCCTTTCTGTTTTCTCCCTCCTCCCTTCTCCATTCTCCCTTCTCCCATGTTCCTCGCATCAGCGTCCAGACCTGTTTGCATGCGCCTTGGCACACGTGGGGCTGACAGACATGCTGCGATTCCACCACTTCACCATCGGTTATGCGTGGACCTCCGAGTATGGTTGCTCCAGCGACCCCCACCAGCTCAAATGGCTCCTCAGGTGCGCCGCATCGCATCGCATTACATCGCATCGCATTGCATGGCATCGCATCGCATCACCACTTCATCCCTTGTGTCTCAGCAAGTCGTCTTCCACCACTTCACCATCAGCCATACGTGGACGTCAGAGTTTGGTTGCTCCAGCAACCCGCACCAGCTCAAACGGCTTCCCAGGTACGCCTTTCCGCATCGCATACCCGCGATGCCTCTTTTCACCAAGCTCCTTTTCTCGCGAGTTCACAATCGGCCATGGGTGGACCTCTGAGTATAAGTGGTTGCTCAACTGGCTGCTCAAATGACCCACACCAGTTGATATGGCTTCTCCCATATGGCTTCTCATGTATGCCGACCGACCAACCAGGTGAAGCTAACAGCGGAACCAACCAAGGCAGCAAGGCAGCCCTCATGCGTTTTGTTTCGCCAAGCATGCAGGACAGGCCTTGCCGTACCACTGCCCGTATGATTGGAAGCCTCCTACCACCAAGATGGAAAGGATTTCTAAGCACTGCTCCCCAAGGAATTTCGGAGTAGCCTTAGCATTCTCAGAAGCTCTGTCGAATGTTTAGAGATTATCTCTCAAAGCGCAAGAAGCATGCCTTGCCATGTATGTGTTCCTTTTCCCTCTTCTCTTTCTCTTTAACGCATCTGACTTGTCTTGTACTTGCCTGCCTCATCTTCCTGGCCGTCACATCCGTCCCGCACCTAAGGTGAGCATCTGTTCTTCCCATTCCGTTTCCCTCGGCCCCCCTTCCCCATCCCTCCTCCTTCCCCCCCCCCCCCCCCCCCCCCCCCCCCCCCCTCTCTACCTTGCAGCTACTCTCCACTGCACAACGTGAGGCGGCCCTGGGAAGCTGCCAGCCCCACCAGCAGCAACAACAGCCCACACACACACTCGGATTCCGCTGATGTGCCAGCAACAGCTGATGTGGCAGCAGCAAAGAGGCAGTGGGGAGAGCGCAAGAGGCAGTACCCGGCAGTGATGCTGCTGACGGGTGACCATGACGACCGTGTGCCACCCTCTCACTCCCTCAAGTTCGCTGCTCAGCTGCAGCATGTGTTGGTGCACAGGTGGGTGGCAGGATTTGTTGGTGCACAGGTGAGTGGCAGGATTTGTTGGTGCACAGGTGAGTGGCAGGATTTGTTGGTGCACAGGTGGGTGGCAGGATTTGTTGGTGCACAGGTGAGTGGCAGGATTTGTTGGTGCACAGGTGAGTGGCAGGATTTGTTGGTGCACAGGTGAGTGGCAGGACTTGTTGGTGCACAGGTGGGTGGCAGGATTTGTTGGTGCACAGGTGAGTGGCAGGATTTGTTGGTGCACAGGTGGGTGGCAGGATTTGTTGGTGCACAGGTGAGTGGCAGGATTTGTTGGTGCACAGGTGAGTGGCAGGATTTGTTGGTGCACAGGTGGGTGGCAGGATTTGTTGGTGCACAGGTGAGTGGCAGGATTTGTTGGTGCACAGGTGAGTGGCAGGATTTCTTGGTGCACAGGTGGGTGGCAGGATTTGTTGGTGCACAGGTGAGTGGCAGGATTTGTTGGTGCACAGGTGAGTGGCAGGATTTGTTGGTGCACAGGTGGGTGGCAGGATTTGTTGGTGCACAGGTGAGTGGCAGGATTTGTTGGTGCACAGGTGAGTGGCAGGATTTGTTGGTGCACAGGTGGGTGGCAGGATTTGTTGGTGCACAGGTGAGTGGCAGGATTTGTTGGTGCACAGGTGGGTGGCAGGATTTGTTGGTGCACAGGTGGGTGGCAGGATTTGTTGGTGCACAGGTGAGTGGCAGGATTTGTTGGTGCACAGGTGAGTGGCAGGATTTGTTGGTGCACAGGTGAGTGGCAGGATTTGTTGGTGCACAGGTGAGTGGCAGGATTTGTTGGTGCACAGGTGAGTGGCAGGATTTGTTGGTGCACAGGTGGGCTTGCTGTGGTGCAATGGTGAGCGGGTGCTGCCCTCTCACTCCCTCGATTTCGCTGCTCAGCTGCAGCATGTGTTGGTGCACAGGTGGGTGGGTAGGTGGGCACAACACAAGTGCACAGGTTGGAGAAGAATTGTGGTGCACAGTTGTGCTGGTACACTACACAGGTGGGTGTCTTGCAGCATGTGCTGTGCTGATGCATGGGTGAACACGCCCGCACCGCAGCTACGCCTGGCTTTCCCCCCTTGCCTCTCGCTTGAGTTCGTGATTCCCCTCCAATACACACCTGTGCACCTCCAATACACCTTCCATCTCCTGTGTGCACCTCCTTGCCTCTGAACCCTGCAGCACAAACGGTGATGGAAATCAGATCAACCCGATTGTGTTGAGAGTAGATGTGAAGGCAGGCCATGGATCGGGTGTTTCAACACAGAAGATAATTGAGCGTAACGCCGATGCATATTCTTTTGCGGCCAGTGTTACCAACACTTTGTGGGTTGACTAACAGATTCAAAGCCCAACTACGACGGTGTGAGCATGGCTCAGAGCTGGGTTGCCGTCTTCCTCTGGTTCGCCTCGGCTGCTGTGTTTTGCGCCATGACAACTTCCAGGACCGCCGAGGTCGTCACCGACTCTGATGAGTAGGATGCTGAGAGTAAATTTGCAGTGTAGTTTTGAGTGGAAAAACTCACAACGGTGAAATTACTTATGTATTTGCGGGTCAGGGTTGTAATCTTTCACCTTTATGAACCCCCATGTATGTTAAAGCCAGGATCTCAAGTAAGAGACATTGGCATCAACTGCAAAACAATTGACCCACTAGTCACCCTGTTTCTGTAGGCGAAATTGAGTGGTTGGGTTGGAGGTTCAGTGTGTTGGAAACAGTAAATCTTAAGCGCCTCTGTCGTGTCGAAACATCGCACCAGAAGCGAAGCGAACCATGCTGAGGCACACGCGAGTCAACCCTCGGAGGTTGAAAGAGGTTGCTGGAGGTTACGCGAAAGTCAAAGGTCAGCGACCTTTGACCTGACAAGTACAGCGCGACAGCAAGGACACACAACTGACTCGCTACAGAGCAGTTGCCCGAGTCGTCACTGTATCGAACCGCAACAGCAACAGTAAAGTAGTTATAACCGTATCCTTTCATATTCCTTGTACTCATATATAAATGCTTGTATCTCTTTGCTTTAATTAACTTACTTTGCCCTCACATACCAGCGCAAGGTGGTTCATAACTTCCTCATTAAACGCTTCCGCTATTACAATTATCCTACCCCGAATTTACCCCTGCAAAAGATCCTAAGGGCTTTTCTCAGCCCAACATGGTATCACGAGCAAGCGTTCCAATCCTTGGAACCTGTGGTAATTTCTACAAATGGGCCCACCACCAGAATCATCACCAGGAGCATCTCCTGGAGCAGGTTCGACCTGCCACTTCCCACGGAGCACTACGTGGAGGAAATCTTCAATGCGCAGTCGCATTATTTTGGGCGACTCGGCAAGACGCAGTTCAAGGCGTTCCGGAAAAGTCACTGGCAAGGACTTCACAACCTCAACCCGGCAGAACTGCAGCTCTCCTCGTTTCTACACTTCTAACAGTGGAGGGGAGTGTTGAGAATATGTTTTATGATGTTTACTGTAAAGTGCACTGTTCGAAGTGTACTAGTGGGGCTTGCCATATCGAGTGTTTCCTGCCCCAAGTATCGAGTCAACGGGGCGCAACCGAGCACAGCGGTTGCGACCCGCGTGGCAGCTGAAGAGTCGAGCTGCACAGCGAGGCATCGTCAACAGTACGCGAAACTGACCTGCAGGGCGCGGCAGGATACCGCGCCCTTGCCGAAGCTGAACAGTCGCGCCAGCGCGACTGTAACAAGGCAACTGAATCGTTACAGCGCAACTGTTTTACGGTTGCGCCTTGGTAACTGCATGCCTTGTGTGATTGCTATATAACAGAATGTTTTGCATTGTTCTTATCACACAATTCCCAAGCTTGTGTCCGGCCTACCCTCGGCCGCTGCTCTGGCACCAAGTTACAAGCTAGGAGAGCTACCTCTGAGTGACCATTGCCCCGCCGTAGGGACGTCGTTATCTTCCTAGAGCTTCCGCTGCGCTCTAGCGACTTCTTGTTTCCAACATGGTATGAGAGCTATCAGGGGAAATTCGACTACTATCAAGTCATCAACAGACAACATGGCAACATACAAGGAAAGGAGTTCCTCTAATGGTTCTCCCGGGACTACTCCTACCCCACCTCCTGCCTCTGGCCTGCAGACAGAGGAAGGAACCACAACGGGACCAGCAGCGCCTTCAGCCAGCCAGCCTGCCAGCTTCGACCAGAGTATGATGGAGAAGTTTTTCTCCTTCATGTCGTTTTACGAGCAACACCAGCAGTCGGCACCTGCGCAGTCAAACAACAGCAACAACAACAACGTGACTCCAATGAGTCTCGACGGCTCATCATATGCGCGCGGAAACCAGCAACAACCTACCTTTGCTCCGTATGAACGTGGATCCATTAGCTTCATGCCGCACCCGCAAGCTCCACCTGGACAAGAAAAACCACTGGATGCACTACAAGTTCAGTCGCAATTCGCACACGTCTTGAAGCTGCAGACGTCAAGGCCCTTCGACGGAAAAGACTTCTTCATCTGATCGTTCGAGTTCGAGCTCATGATGGAAGGCGCGCAGATACTTGGCTTCTTCGACGGGTCCCTGCCATACCCAACAAACGGCACACAGTACGAGAAGCAGCAGTATACCTATCAGTCAATGATGGCATATACAATCCTGCTGAGAAACATCACTCCGAGTCAGCAGCAGAACATTCGGTCTTACCGGGGATACGGCAACTCTGCCGAGCTCGCTTACAGCCACCTGAAGAACCTGTACCAAGCAACAGACAGCGTCAACCAGAGTCGGTTAATGGCGCAATTGACAAACGTCGAAATGAAACCAGGCGAAAAGGGAATGGCGTATATCAGCCGCTGTCGCGAACTGCGCGACAAACTCCTTCGATGCGGAGGATCAATAGCCGAAGAAGCTTTCGTAACACTCGTCATCGGTGGACTCGGTCCTCAATGGCGCTCCACCCGAGCCATCCTCCGAGCTCACGGAAAAATCTCCGAAGCAGCACTCTGTGCCGAAATCCACGCCGAGCAGCAAGACATGGACCTGCAAGAAGAACGACACAAGAGAAAAACGTCAGTACCGGAATTCGCGTTCCACACTCAGCGACGCTACAACAACAACAACAACCGACAACAACAGAAACACGTACCTCCGTTCTGCCATATCTGCAAGACGTCAGGGCACCCGCGCACGCACTGCCCGAATCGACAACAGTCAACGCCACAACAGCGGCATCTTCGACCTTCAAGCAGTCAAGTTACCTCAACGCAAGCGAATCCCACGACCCAAATCCAAGCCTCAACAACACCGACCGGACAACCTCCACAAGGAGTAAGGAACATCGTCAGTTGCATGGCAAGATTGACCGACTCCTGCGTCACTGAATCACCGCCACACTACTCACCGGAAGAACAACTCGACAACAGCACGCCCCGCCGCGAGTCACTTCAACCGAACCCGACATACGCCGCCATCGCCCAGAGTGAGCCATCCGGGAAGGACACATGGTTCTTGGACAGTTGCTGCGGACAGCACATGTGTTCTTCAGGACGCTTCGTACAACGAGAGTACCAACTCCAACGTGAAGTAGTCATCACCGTCGCCAACAACCAGAACCTGCGCACACGACGACAAGGCGTAGTACACCTTCAGTCACGAGAGACAAACGTCATTCTACAGATGTCCAAGGTTTTAATTGCAGAAGGCCTCGGCTACAACTTACTGAGCGTCAGTCAGTTGATGGCGAAAGGCATTCACCTTGAAGCAGACAGCACAACCCAGGAATTCAAGCTGTACCACGGGAAGGGCGGCCTCTACATCGGAAAGGCGATCCTCAAGAACAACGTCTTCGTTCTTGATTTCGTTCCAGATCTCGGCACAGCAGACAGCGACGGCATCGTCACCTTCACTTCTTGGACCCACCCTCCAGATCTTGATTCAGACCTCAGTCCCGGCGGCTTCTGGCACTCACACACCATTCCTGAAACAGAGAGAACAAGGGCGTTAGCAACAATTCAACAATCGGCAGC